CTAAGCAAATTAGTAGCATTTTCTCAAGACTTAACAGACAAGATAGTCTAGATGAACTAACAAGACTTAGAATAGCTCAAGGATATCAGAAAGCAGGCTTAACAAAGGACATCTGGCATAACAAAAATAAACTAGAAGTTATAAAGTTCTGAAAGAATAATCTAGCATATTGAACAATAGCTAAGGCAAAAGAAATAGAAATAAACATCAAAGTAGCAAAATGGCTATAGAAAGTATATAGATATAGTAAACAAATAAAAGACATGCTAGAAATGAAAATGCAGATAGCAAGTAGTCATATAATAAATGATTGAGAATTATTGTATGTGAATCAGCTAATAGATACAAAAGGTAACAGCTTAATCATATGAAGATAGCTCAAGAGTCTTCAAGATTTATCATATAAGGGAAAGAAAGCCAAGTAGTTTAGCAAAATAGAAAGAAAAATGCTGAAAATACAAGAAAGTAGAGAAATACAAAACCAGTACAAAATAAATAGCTATAACACATAGGCATTAAAGATTAAGTGGACAAAGATGTCAGAAGATTAAAGAAAAAAAGAATGGATCATGCATGAACCAAAACACAACCAGCAACTCAGCAAAATAGAAGAAAAAAGTGTTAGCAAAGCATTGGCTAATGCACAAAGAAGAAGAAAATACATATATAGAAATAAGTTTATGCAAAGATTGTAGAAACAGACCAGAACAAATGACAGATAAATATGAGAAATGAATAAGACAAGACCAAAACATGAAGATAGTCCCAGAGTTACTAATAGAAAAAACAAATAATAGAATAAATGCAACATTAGATCAACTATTAGAAAACAGAAGAATTGAAGAATGAAAAAGAGATGAAATAGAATTATCAGAATTGAAGCTAACAGAAGAATTAGAAATAAAACTAATTAAGAAACAAGGATTAAACAATATAATTACAGATCAGCTAACAGAAATCCTAATGCGAAACAAGAGAAGGGACAAAAAAAAATATACTATCTATACTGATAGGGCACTATATAAAAAAAAAAAAGTAAACAATATAGAAATGATAGGCATCGGCTGAGTACAAATAGATAATAAAGAAGACTGACCAGAGGAGGAGACTGCATTTAGACTCAAGGGCTGGCCTTCAGCAACAATAGCAGAATTAGCAGCAATATGGGTAGCAATTCTAACAATTCCAGAAAGAAAAAACATAGAAATTTATACTAATAGCATTGCAGCATTAAGAAACATTAACAGAGCAATATAAAATATAGAAGACAGAAATATTATAAAGAGGAAAAACACAATGTAGATAATGAACATTATAGGTCTTATCAAAAGCAAAAACATAAAGACAGAAATAGTTAAAGTTAAAAGCCATAGTTAAGATAAGTAGAATGACAAAGCAGATTCTCTTGCAAAAAAAGAAGTGACTTATAGAAATTTAATACATGTGAAAAAGATTATATGTGATGAAATAGAGTACTATTTAGAGTAGAAAAATAAGAAAATCGATATACCAGCAAGACTTCTGTATAAAATAATAGTGAATGCCAAAATTGAGACTAGTTAAAAAGAAACAAATTCAATAAAAGCACTAGAGCCAAAAACAGAAAATGTATTACATAATTGGACAAGTTTTTGGAAAGAAATGAACAGAACAAGAAAAGTTCACTATATATTAAGGAAACTTAGCACAAAAAGAGCTACAGCAATCAAGTGTATAACAGACAAACTGCTAACACTCAAAGAGTTAAACAGAAGAAGACCAAAAGTATATACAAAAGCAGAGTGTCAGGTGTGCCAAGTTGAAGAAAAAAATGCAAGCACATCTGACTAGCTATAAGAAACAAAAAAGTCTGTGAAAGTGAATTCAAAAAGTTGCAACAGCAGTAGCATGAAATAGGCTCAAAGAAGAAGAAAAGAACAAAATTCTACTATGAGTTCTGTATAAAATGCTATTTGGAAAATCAGAAGCTAAAGAAATCAAAAATAGAGAAGTGCTGATAAAAGGACTTATGAAAGTAAAAGTAAAAAAAAAACTCGAATGACTCTTAAGTAAGCAGGCAATACAAAAGTGTATAAATATAGAAATAAGAACAGTGTAAAACACCTTTTATGACCAAGTATAAAGAGTCTGATGTGAAAAAATATAAGACTAGAAAAAGAAGAATAATATAACAAACAAGATGAAAAAAGATGTTCATACAAAAAGAAAAATAAATAAAGAAAAGAGGAAAAATTAACAAACAAGAAAAGAAGAAAAGGAAAGAAAAATAGAAAAAGTAAACCAAATAAAGAAAGAAGCTTTGAAGACAATTAATATGCTTGTCACAGAAGAAAAGAGACCTTTCTAGTATGGCTTTAAGTAGTTAGACAAGCAGTCTATTTCTAATTAAGATAGTGCAGCAGATTGCACTTAGGTACTATAAGGGTGGCTGAGTGATGCTAGATTTAGACATTGGAAAATTCTATGTAATTGTATATATATATATAGTTTCAAGAATCTTAATAAAATACTAGCGTAACTGCTTAAGGTTAAAAATATATATATATATATATATATATATATATATAATTATATATATATAAGAAGAAGTCAATAAAAAAGGAACAAATTGAAGATTTTTTGAAATTTGTGTTTTTATATTTATTAAATTGTTTAAAATATTTAAAATATTTTTTATTTAATAATGAACTTCTATTTTTATATTATAAAAATTAGATATAACCATTTAAAAAAAAATTTGTTATACAAATCAACTCTTAGTATTAGCAAATCGGATAAATATAAATGTAGAATTTACATTAACATGGACATACTTTATGTATGTATAACCTTTTTAATAAAGTATCGATATAGAGTACTAAGAAACTTTTAAAAGCTTTTTATTATACAAACTATAAATGCACTATATAAATAGCCTTATGATAAAAGAGTTATAATATAAATTACAAAATTATATAGTAGTAGTCTTGTAGTAAAATCATATTTGTTGTAACAAAAACTAAGTTTGGATTTTTAATTAAATAAGAATTTGGAACTTTAATCTAAGTTATATTTTTGTTTAATTTTTTTACCTTCTTGTTTTAGTGCTTTATATATTTTTACTTTACTGCTTCTTTAAATAGGCTTGTAGGTTAATTTGATCTACATACTATTAAATTAACTTGGCTTTAGATTCTACTTTGGACTGCTCAAAAATCTGTACCAGTTGCTTCAAATTTATATGCATATTTTTAAATCTAGATTTAAATAGATCTGAAGCAATGCCATATTATTAATAATTCTACATTTAAATATGGGTTCTAAATTTGAAATTATAAAATGTATTAGAATGTAGAAATGAATTTATAAATAAAGAATTTTGGAATTTAGAAAAAATCTTGGTTACTTTTTTTTTTCTTTAGACTCATAGTTTCTATTTTTTCTTTTCATGTAGATATATTAGATTACTAAAATCAGTGTAAATACTTGCAATAAGTGATTTATGTATAAATATGCAGCTTAAAAAGTTTGCAAAACTTCACATAATTTCATCAAGCACTAATAAAGGCTTATCCTATTCTGTTGTATAATCAAACTTTATATTTAATTGCAATATATAAATATATTTTTGTTTTGAAAAAAGTACTAATCTTAGAAGAGTTCTGTTTGATATTAAACTAATTCACATTATGTTATATGCACATATATAGTTGCATATCTGAAAAGGTTAACATTAGTATTAGTGTATGATAAGTTAAAAAATAAATACATATCCTGTATCTTACTAGTTTAGAATCTACAACTATACAATTTTTAAATACTTTAATAAAATAAATAATTAAACATATGTAATAAAATTAGACTCAAACCAGTCTATAAAATTTTTTTAAATTAATATGTTTTGTTATTATGAATTTTTATATATTAGTAATTCTGATATCATTATATGTAGTGATAACAAAAGTGATTAGTTATTTTATTTTATTTTATTTTTTAATAGCTATTTAACAAAAATATATAATTTAACAGCATTTTTGCTAAAACTTATAAAGAATTAGAATGTTTAAATGAAGAAATTTCTAAGCTTCAAGATGTTTATTTAACAAATAATAATTATTCAGATAAAGAGTCTGATAACAAAACTAATAAATTTAGTATAAATAAAACTAGTGAATCTTCTTTAGTGTTATTAGTCATATATATTGATCTTTTTTTTACTGCTAATTAGGTTAAACATTTTTATAAAATATATACACTTCATCTAATGTATATAATAATAGAAGATAAAAAAATTCATGATAAGCAATTAGATAAACATGATGATGATGCATTTTTAACAAAACTAAACCAATTTTGCTGTTGTATGAAAAGGTGCCTTTTAAATGTTAGTTAGCAAGAAGCACTTAAAAGGTTTTAACAAATAAAAGCAATGTTACAGAAAGAATCAGATTTATATTTTCTTGGAATTATTGATACTAGTAAGAATTTAAAAACAGAACACAAAAGATATATTTAACAACAAATTATAAATTTGAAGGTGTTATTATTTGTCAAAAAGCTTGATATGTAATATATGACATTTAAAAAAGAAAATAGAAGAATTTATATATACATTATCAAAATTTTGGTCTTATACCAAAAGTTCATAATTTAATTAGACATGTTAGCAATCATGCTATTTCTTTTTTAACAGTTCTGAATATACTCAAATTTGTTATAAATTTTGCTAATCAACATGGACTTTCATCATCTGATAAAGTAATTAAGTGATAGATCACAATTAAAGAGTATAAATTTTATAATAAAAATTAGTGAAAAATTTCTATTATATTGATATAGTATTGGAATGCCAAAAATTTTTAACAAAATGTAAAAATCATAGTTATGAAAAAAAAAGCCAATAACTTGACCAATTATAATAATTCTAATACCATTAGAACTAGAATAATTTGCTCTATAAAATTTGTTAGAAACTTAAGAAAGATTACTTAGTATAAAAAACTTTTCATTATATGCTAACTGCATTCTAACTCTAAAAAAACTGATAATTTTAACTATTAAATCTGCTATTTTTAATATTTTAACTGTGATTTATCTCTTTATAACTATTGTGCAGTGTGGATAAAATATCTTGATATAATATATTTCTACAACCCAATTATAATTTTTTCTGGATATGTTATATTTTATTATAAAATTTTATTAATCCATGCTGTGTACATTATTATTATTATTATTATTATTATAATATTTATATATTTAGAGCATAGTTTTTGGAATAATACTCACAAAATAATCTATTTACCTATATGTGAAAGTAAGCAGTTCTTATACTGAATTTATAATAATATTAAAAAAGAATAGAATAAATAATATTAGTTTATCAAGTTTTAAACATATTTGGAGATGATATCTTTCTGGAATTCAATTTATAATACTATATACTAACTTGTATATGCTTTGTAAAAAAAAGCATTTTGGAGCCAAATATTGGAATACAAATAAAACAATACAAAAATTAAATAAATAGGTAGCACATTATAATTAGGCATATTTAGAACATGAAAACTATAGATAACAACTTAAAATTTTAATTTAATTATATTTATAAACTAAATAATATTTATATTTTAGAGATTGTATTGCAAAATTCAAATTAGCTTTAAATTTTTTAACTAATTTTTTATGATTTGGAATTCCAAATTTAATTGATATCAAAAATCATATTTTATAAGATTTTGCAGAAAATGTACAAATTCTCTATTCTTCACAGCAAGAAAAAGTAACATATTTTAAATCACTTTATAGAGTTGAAGTTTTTGGTGTATGTAAGGAAGCAATGCCATAGCAGATATGTAATTTAACTCACATAGTTTTATAATTACAGTATGTATATTGTATGTCAAGATAAAATTATTATATATTTAGAATCTACTTTGATTAATTCTGAATAAGCATAAAATTTTAAATCATATAAAGAATTTAATTTCAATCTACAATAAAATTAAGTGGGCTCTAAATTGTTTATTAAGCATATTGCTTTGAAATTTAAATTATTTGAGATAAAGTTTATTTATAATGTAGTGCATCAAAAATTAATTAAATTAAAAGCATTACATAATTTATAAATATTAAATTAACTACTACTACAAGGTAATTTTATTTTTTTCTTAAATACTTATAAGTATTGAAAGACTACTATTTAATTCAGAGAACTCAACAAACACAAGTAGGTTTGAATTAAATCTTATAAGTTATATTATAGAATTGTTGATGTTTCAAGAATCATATATTTTTCATTTAATAGTATTTTTTGTATTTCTGTTATTGTATTTGTTGGATCTTAGAAGACTTTAATATAAAAAATCAAAGCTTTCACATGCTATTAAGATTTTATATTATCTATTTGTAATTCATCAAATGAGTGCAGTTAAGGGAAAATCTGTTATCAGCCTTTTAATTATATTTTGTGTTTAGCTTATTTTTTGAATGCTGTCTAGGAAAAATCTATCATCAGATTTCAATTATATTTTGCAACAAGTCATTACAAATATAATCAAAAGTTTGATGATAGATTTACCCTAGATGGCATTCAAAGAACAAACTGAACACAAAATATAATTGAAAGCTTAATAACAGGTTTTCTCTTAATAGCACTCAAATGTATTACAAAAAAAAAAGGATTTGATCATCAGATAGAAAGGTTGTAAAAAAAAATAAAAAGATAATGTAATAAAAAATTTCAATAATTTATTATAACAAGATATAATATATTCTAAATCAATTACATAGCATATTAGATTTAGAATCAACTCAAGTTCCTAAAGGCAATTCATTGTAACAAAACTTTTGACAACATGCATTTAGAGAACTTAGGAAAAATTTTATTTATAGGGATCAGAAATATATTTAGACTAGGCATTTAGAAAAGTGTTACATTTAGAGAGATTGTATTAGAAAGGCCTAACTGTATATATGTTTCAATTTAAGTAGATTCTAAATATAAACTAACTTTATTCTGATATACAACATATGCAAAGTACTAAGCAAATTGTGTAATATTATTGAATGGCAATTAATTTTTAATCTTATCATTACAAATTGATTAGTAAAATATATTTGAATTTTTATTATTTCTATTTTATCATTATTACTTAACTCTTTAGATGAATTATCTTATTTCAGAAAATCAGTATGTCAAAAAAGGCCCAAATACTGTAATATCTCTTGTCTATTATTACTTTGCTACTCATGGTCTTGGTGAAAAACAGGTTGTTATTTATACAGACAATTGTATAGGCCAAAACAAAAACAATGCAATGATCAAATATCTATCTTGGTAGATAATGAACAGTTTGTATGATAAAATCACTTATAGCTTTATAGTTCCTGGTTATATAAAGTTTGGACCAGATAGTTTTTTTGGCTTGTTTAAATTAAAACTTAGAAATTTGGAAGCAGATGATCTAGAAGATTTAATTTATATTGTTGAACAATTTACAGTTGACAGATATAACAAAGCAAATATGATTGTTGATTTTAATAAAAATAAAAGAATTAGTTTATATAATTGAAGTTAATTTTTAGATAGTTTTTTACTATAGTTCTATTTCTTTTCATGCAGCATCATTTTGTTATATCTCATGAACATTCTGAAAAAGTAAAAGTTTGAAAGTCATTTGATAATAATGAAACTAAAATTTTAATTACAAAAGTTTTTTTAATACCAAAAACCAAAAATAATGAATTAATTCTTCCAGATGTAATTGTTCTATAGGAAATCAATTTGGAATAACAATAGTATCTGTATAAAGAAGTTGCATAATATATTCAAAATCTGGCAAAATGTAATATTTATTATTTAATGCCTAATCAGCCTAAACTAAAAAAAACAAAAAATTTACAAATGGTAAGAGCAATTTTATTTAATAGATTAATTAAATTTTTTATTTTATTACAGTTTTCAAAACAGTTGAAAATGGCAAATAAAAATTTTTTTGACATACATATAAGTAAAGATTGATATAAAATTAGTATCAATCTTCAATCAACTTGCTAAGGTAATCAAGTAAAAACATCAAATTTGTTCAAATATTTAATTGAAATTCAGAGTATTAATCAAGTGTTCTAGTGTATACTATTTGCTATTTTCAACTATATATTTTGAAAACAGTAATAAAGTAGTTAAGAATTATTTGAATATTTAAATTATCTTCAAATAGTAGATTTTCGAACTAATATTTATTTTATATGCTCATAAGTAATAAAAATTCATTACTTAACCAAAGCCTAAACATTTAAGTATTATAAACATGAGACATGCTAACGAATTAAACAATCTTAATTAGCTAAAATTAAAAAAAGCAAATAAAATATGTTCTTTTATTATTAACAATAATCAGAATAGGTATATTTTTAAAACACATAATGTTACATGAAACTGAAGTTGAAAAAGCATGCTAATAAATATATCTTGACAAATGTGATCAATATAAAATTGGTATTAAAAACTATAGTGAAAAGCAATCTATAAAATAATAATAAAATTAAAAAAAAAAGTGTATCTTGAAAATAAATAGAATTATAAATTTTTATAATTTATCAAAAATAGTATAAAATTAATACTGTAAATCATTTATTTTAAAATAAATATATCATTTATTTCTAGAGAAATTAGATTTTTATATTTTAACTTAAATCCAATGCTAGTTAGTTATTGTTATTAAAATCAAAATTAAGACTTACAAAAAGCTAACTATTAGTCTTAAATTATTTATAACTTACTGCATTATATATAAAATAGCATTCTATTAAATAACTGTCTGTCAGATTATATACTTATCCTACTTAGAAAGACCTAAATCTTCACAAAGTTAAAAAGCTTTAAGTTTATAATTTTCTAGACATCTTCTTATTGCTTTTGCTCTTAAGCTAGTAAGTTAAAGACTAGACTTTGCAAAATCAAATCAAATTGTGAATTTGAATCAAATATTTGAAATTATTTGATTAAATTTTTATTTAATTTGATCAAATAATTTAAATATTTAATTTAAATTAATTTTGTGAAGCACTATTAAAGACATTAACTTGGTCTTCTAAGTTTAAAAAAATATATATATTAACTATAAATTATGATAAAACCTTCATAAATGCATTCTGCATACCCTCTTTAAGTGCACACTTAAATTTAAGCCCAACTATATAGATGACCTTCATAAATACATACTTAAATTTAGACTCCAACTACATAGATGACCTTCTTAAATGCACTTTCTCTTATTGGTCTCTAAGTGCACATTGTTAAGATTTGATCCCAAGCATATGCACTTATAAAGGTTTTACTATAATACACTTTAGAATTGTAGTAAAATAAATCCAATCTAACTAATTAATACAACCTAAATAAAGAAACAGTAAAATAAAATCTTTGTAAATTTTAAATTATAAATAAAATTTTTTTTAACTCAATAAAAATAAATTTACCAAATTACAGTAAAATCTTCATAAGTACACTCTCCAAGTGTTACTCTCTAAATACATGTTTAAATTCAGGAACAACTATATAGATAATCTATAAATTCATTTTTTTTATTATTCTCTAAGTCCTCATTGTTAAGGTTTGGTCCCAAGCATGTGCATTTATAAAAGTTTTACTGTAGATTAAAAGTGACTTAGGGTGTTCTCAGGTATCATTCTTAATAAGTTTACTGAATAGTTTAATTAGCTATAAAAAAAAAATAATAATTATAATTGTTATTTAAGTTAAAAAAACTAGTGCTATAACAATCTATTCCTTTTAAAATCACTGATTTACAATCCATATTTCTCACTGAGTTTACAACAAAATTATTAAAGTACATCTTGTTGCTAGCAAATTACATTAAGAAAGCTTATTCTTAATCTACTAAAAAATAGCTTTTGTTGTATTTTTTCATTTCAATGCTGATAATTCTATACTGGCCTTGATAATTTTGTTTTTGATTTGCATAGAATTTTATATAGTTAGATACTTTAGTAAATCTGTTTTAAATCTTGCTGAATATAAATAATGCAAGCAATAGTTTAATATTAACTAACCTTAAAAATTTTATAAATAATTTAAACTATATGAACTTAAAAATCTATTTGCATATGCCTATTAGTAAGATGACTTACAAGTCTAAAGAGTATTCTTTGCATAAATATGCAAAAAAAAAGTTTTTAAAGTAACAATAATATAAACTACATATTATCTAATCATATACATAACTAGATCATAACAATTTTTTAAACATTAAAGCTAAAATTAATAAAAGCATAGCAATTACTTTTTTTAAATACTAAAAAAAATGCATATAACAATGTTATATAAATGGGACAAATATTATTAGATAAATTTGTCTTTTTGTTATTGACTTAATCTGCATTAATAGAAATAGAACAAATTTATTAGATAAATTTGTCTCTTTTCTATTGCCTTGATCTGTATTCAGAATCTGGTTTAGAATTTGTCTCAAAACTTATTCAGATTTAGTCATCTTGCTTGAAAATTTGTATAACAAAATACAAAAACTCAATTATTTCAAAATTGTGATTTATTTAATTTGTTTCTTTTTTATTGACCTCTTCTTATATAGAGAAATATTAATAATTAGTATTATATAAAATTTATAATAAGACTATTAGATATAGAAAACTAAAAAACTAAAAAACTAAAGAGTGTAATAACCTAGTGAAGTAAACAGATTATTAACTTTCAAGTGGCAGATTTAGAGTTCAAATCTCAGTAATAGTGAAAATTTGCAATTTTTTCTGTATTAGGTTAACTATTTTTTGTAATTAGTTAAAATTAGATATTTGTAATCTGTG